TGGATCCTAAAGTAGAGAAAAACAAGCTATTTTTGATACACGATTATGTTTAATTCAGGACTTTATTACATAAGCATGTGGTTATCTGAGTGTTTTGTGTGCAAGGTAAAAAAAAATGAAGATAGAAATGAGATGGCTATAAACCAGAGGAGACGTTTTTACAATAACTACATGTAAATAACAACCCATAAAAAGATGAAGCTAATTGTCATTCATCATTTTATGTTAACAGGTGTTAACAGGGACAATGTCTTAAAGGAATACAAAAATAACTCATTAGTAAAAATAACATCCAGAGTCTGATAAAACGATTGGTCCATACAGGGAAATAAATCACAAGTAATGCTTAGTCTGTGTAGGTGCAAATTAGGGACCATTCCCAGACCCCATCGGACTAACTGTAGATCGATCTATCTCCAAGAGGATTTGAGCTATATTGCAATCAACTTAAGCGGCTTTAGGGTTAGTTGGGGTATTGGGGTCAGTAAAGCCCCCTTTACACTGTACGGCGTCCTTTCTGCGTCCCGCAGTACGCCCCCGATTAAGAATGAAATGAAGTATATTATATCACGTGCCGACTGCTGGCCGTTCCTGAGCATTCATTCTGCAACCAGAGAGATACTTGTGCCTCCTTTCTACGACCACAGCGATGCCAGTTTCATAGTTGCACAGAGAACGCAGAAAGGACGCACATCCAGTGTAAAGGGGCCTTAATATGGGACGAATGTCACTTGTACAAAGTAATAGGAGGCGGACTGCGGTTCCTAGAGGACTTCCATTCCTGTAACACTGGTACATGTACGCTGCACTACACTACCACAACTTCAAGGCGATATTGCCTGTCCCCTTAAACGAATGCTGTCCATTAAAGAAAAGCAAACTGGGAAAACAGAAATTAATTTATCTGTAAGTAATTTTGTACTTTATCTAGTTTATCACTGCATATAAGGAAAACAACCGCGTTCCTTTTTCAGGAACTACCATCTGTATTGTTGCTGTTGGCGACGACGCCAACATGGATGTGATCAACGGCATGGCGTCCTGGGTCAGAGTCCCTCCCTTTTTCTTCGGGAAATGTGCCCTTAGATACAGTACCTACGCCGATTACAGGGCTGCCACGTACGCTGCCCGCCGTTGATTGCCACCATCTTAGCATCACTCCTTGGGCTAGCCTGTTCCCTAAACCTGCAGATAGGAGTCTACAGTCTACAAGCGGATCTTCTAAGTTAATTCCCGTTAACTCTTGACATCTACGTATAAAATCCTGTGAATATACGTATCTTTACTTAATTTATTACTGAAATTCTACATCGTGGCGAAACAAGGTATTTGGCGCCATCACTTAAAATTTGACTAAAAATACTTCTCTGCTGATTATTCATGCAGACGTCTTTAAAGGTACTAATACATGATTGCAAACACCTTATTTTTGAGAAGAAAAATGTGCACCTTCAGTAGTTGCTTATGACACCTCAATTTGGTACTTCTCTATATCTAGATATAAAACTACTATTCTGTGCAATTAGCGTAAATAACTTAGATTAGCCGCTATTTTACTGTCTCTTTTTGTTTATTATTTTGTTTATTTGTTTTGAATGATGGCAAATCCAAGTGGGTCCTGGCGGAACATGTGCCCCACCCCCTCATTTAGCTTCGAAGAACCCCATTTTTCTGCTCCAGAAAATTGACTGAATAAATACATAAATAAAACAGGCGAATCGAAGAAAAGCAATCGAGTCTCAACAACCGTAATTAAAACTCAAAAAACGCAAAATTTTCCTAGAAGCGTGTATTATCTTATCCATCCCTGTATTTTTATTCATATTGCAGTAAATTGTCTTGGTCAACTATATCATAAAGTGTATTAAATGAATACTATTAAAGAAGAAAGAAATAAACAGATCAAAATTTAAAAAAATTGTCGTTGCTTCCCCATCTCAAAACCTTTGTCCCACCAGAGGCTTTTAAAATTCTTATTAAATCAAAATTTGCCTTTACTGGATGTGTGTGTGTGTGTGTGTGTGTGGGGGGGGGGGGGGGGCATATATTTTTTTAAATTGATTTATATATTTCTTTAGACACGTGTTGATAAAGACTGGAACCATTTCTGCAATAGCTACTTTGTGAAATATACGGAAATTATTCACTCACTTTTTCTTAAATGGAAAAAATATGGAACGCTTCACGAATGTGCGTGTCATCCTTGCGCCAGGGGCCATGCTAATCTTCTCTGTATCGTTCCAATTTTAGTATATGTCCCACCGTAATGAAGACGTTGACTACCTTTCAATTTTCTAAAAATATAGTGGTGAAATGCAAGATGGCGGCTTAGATGAGTGACGCTTTCAAATACGCTAATTACTCAGCTAATATAGCTTCTTTCAAGTATAGCCGCACAACATTTCACAGATATCAAATGTAACATCTTAATGATAAATTTAACCTTATTTGATATAAAAAAAGAAGTATTTAATTTTACCTTATTAACCCTTACGGTGACTGCAATCTTTACTGAGTATACATAGTACTGTGTCGCCATATAGCCGTGATCACGTGGCACCTCCCCCCCCCTCCCCGCTTCAACGCCATCCCCGTCAAACAGTCAACAGTCGAACGGCTTAGGGAAATAGGCCTATGTCAAAAACTATATGCAGTTCCATCCTAGTCCAATATCCACGTGATTCGATCTTTGAAGCTTCTCAATAACCTAAAAAGAACTGTCCAAAAAGTTGCATATTAACGAGTGTGATATAGCTGTAAAATGAAGTTATACTTCCGGCAAACGGAGTTTAATCTACAGCGACACCACAAGCAAAATGGTGTGATTAAAAGTTCGGGAATGAAGTGGTGCAAAGCATGACTTCATACATCACGTAAATTATCTTATTTTTAGAAATTGAAATATGATTGAACATGCATTGATTTATTTGTGCAAAATTTATTATATCATATTAACGTGCTTTTTCCGTAAAAAAAAAGAAAATGGAATAATAACCTTTATATAGATCTCGTTAAAGGATTTACAATTCCCCTTTCAGGTCTACACTAGAAGCTAAGTATGTACTGAAAGAAACGCAGATTATACTTTCTTTTTTCTTAAGGTTAAAAAAATATGGAACGCTTCACGAATGTGCGTGTCATCCTTGCGCCAGGGGCCATGCTAATCTTCTCTGTATCGTTCCAATTTTAGTATATGTCCCACCGTAGTGAAGACATACAGGATACTTCCTTTCTGTCTATATGTAGTGGTGACATACAAGATGGCGACCGAGGTGAGGGATTCTATCTAAAACATAATTTCGCTAATTATTTTGCCAATTTAACTAGTACCGCCTTAAATCAAAACAGGCACATTTTTTCTTAAAACGGTTTTGGCAGATTTTATATATCTTTAATCTAACATTTCTTCAAACAAATATATTTCATTTCAACTATTTTCCACTCTGTGCCTTTACCTATAAAATCACACCAGAATATGCCAGTAAGTTACAATGCACTAACATCAATTTCTAACAATACATTACACTAATATTAATGACTACATAATAATTCACCAAAGAATTTTCTTTATTTATTAACCGTAGGCGTTTATGCTTTATATAAAGGCCCATTCCCAATGCAACTAGCGTTCTATGTAGATCGATCCAACTCAGCGGGGACTCTCGCTGAATGCAATCAGATCAACAAATTAACACACATCTTGTTTACAACGTACTCGCATAATCAGCAGCTTCTGTCTTCTACTTTGGGAAGGAGCCCTAATTAGACTTTTAGATAATGTATATATGGTACTCTGAATTTTGGAAGACGAGATACTGTGATGGGGGGGGGGGGATATAAAGATAATATAATATTCTCAGCATTCTGTAAACTCATATGCAGACCCAGGAGTTTTCTGAGAAAGAAAATTATGTTGGTTGCTGTTTTCGAACCCGTCAGCAGGAGTTCCTAAGCATTTTTGTAAATCACAGTGAATAATATTTATTTATTCTAGCTATATGTTAGAGCAATCAAACAAGTTTTATGGATCTTTAATAGCAGCTATTTTCTGCTTCATGTTCATGTTTAATTCAGGACATTGTTACATCGACTTGTGTTTATCTGTGGCTTTCGTGTGCAAAATGAATAAATAAACACATCACCGAGTCACGTGACAGGTGTCGACAGGAGCAGTGTTTCACATCGGCAAAATATTTGTTTTCAAGGAATACCTGGCAAATGTCTGGTGTAAACACAGTAGAACACCGATAAAAAACGATGAGTTCTGTAATTAACCCTGTAATTAAAAGTAATCAAGATTTAATCGTCCCTACCGCGTCCCTTAAGTATTTGTAAGTTGGATGTTAGGAAGAGCGTTCGAGAGAGCTGGAAGGATCAGATTTGGAGAACATACACTGTACAAGACTGCTCTGAGAGACGGAGTGTAAAGAAGTTGCAGACTTCACATCAAGTTCAATTTATAGAAGTTTAGGACATTCACTTCATATTTATAAAAAGTTCATTGCAATGTATTTAATAAGGAAATGTGGACATTTAAGAAAACAGGTACCTTTTAAGAAACAATTAATGTTTCATGAACAGATTTAGAATTATTGTCTTTTGCCATTATCTTCATGTACACACATTCATACAATACATACATACCTGTACATACATATAATTTTAATTTATTCGGCTACAAATAGGATTACAAGAGCAATACATTTTAATCATCGTCGCGAGCGCACAGTGTACCATAACATAACGACACGTGCATGTAGGTGCTCGGTTGCATAATGTTGCCTAATGTATCTTAAATGTGCTTTAAGAAGTTGTGTCATTGTCATTATCAATACATTAAAAATTGCTTAGCACAGAAAATAGAGGGATTAAAAGCAAAGAAAACTTATAAGTAAATTATGTTTTTAAGTAGAATTTCATTCATGGTTCGGGCTTTTAATGTTTTTTATGTTTTCTCTAAATTCTGTAAATAACTATGCCCCATTTTGAAGGCTGCTAAGATGGTCGACACACCGCCGAATACCCCTGCACTAAAAACTGCAGAACAAGGCGGGTATCCCAATGACGGATTTGAGAACGATACAATAGACGGTGAGTTGCAAGATGACAACTCTGATTGTGACGTAAAAGACAATAGTTTTAAACATCTTGAGGAATTAAGGGAGATAGGTGCAGGAGAAGAAAATGGCTATTCAGGTAATTTGTTTGACTAGTTTAAAGTCAACCGACTAGTTCTCCAAACGTTTAAAAGTTTTCCGGTAAATGACTCACTTGCCTTCTCTATACTTGGCGTCAAAACGCAATGGGTTCCATGCTGAATGTCTCAGCAGACATTTCCAGCATTTAGTTTTAAAGATTGACATGTTCTTGAAAAGGAAAATATGTCATATAAAGGACTCTTAATACACGCATGGTAGTAACTCTCTCCACTTTTAAAAGAGTGCTTTAAATATGACGTCAGTTTAACTTTCCTCATTTGAAATCACTTGGTGAAAAACGTTAACCCACCCATCAAGGTCTAAAAAATTATAATCGGTATTTATTCAGAAACAGCAATTGTTATATATCCGCATGTAAAAAAAGTTTAGTGAACACTGTGCTTTTTATTACAGATAAACCAATCAGGCTGGGTTCAGCGACTGGATCGAGCTTTACAGACTCAAAAAGAGCGTCGATTGAAGGGAGCCCCAGAGTTCAAACCGACAGCTGCATGGATTGGTTGGTAGTCTTGGCGTCCTTCTTAACTCACTTTATCGTGTGCGGCATTTTATACTCATTTGGTGTGTTTTATATCACTCTGCTAAATGAATTCGAAGAAACCAAGTCAGCGACGTCTTGGGTTGGCTCCATTCAAATAGCTCTTAGCTGGATCATGGGTACGGTATAGTTTACGCATGCGCTAATACGGTTCACAGAGTTACGCAAACTACACTGTAGGAAGTGTTATCGATAATATTAACAATCGAAACCTAACAATTGGTTTACAGCTGTTTGAACGATCTTATTCCAATACAGTGAAGGTCGGCCAAGTTAATATCTCTTAATATTTCTCTCTTTTGGCAGAGACAAAGTGTGTCTGTGAAAGAGAGTGATAGACTGAGAAAGAGTTACTTCAGCATTAAACATCATGAAAGATTCAAAGCCTATGACGCACACTGATTATCCATTTTAGGTCCAATAGCAAGCTCCCTATCAGATAAAATTGGACACCGAGCTGTTGGAGTCATTGGTTCTGTTCTCGCTGCGACGGGGATTGGCGTGAGTTCGTTAGCGTCTAATGTGTACTTGCTGTATTTTACATTTGGAGTTATCTCTGGTATCGGTTTCGCACTGATGTATTTTCCAAGCATTGTCTCAGTTCAGGATCATTTTGAGAAGAGGAAAAGTGTAGCTATGGGAATTGCAGTGTGCGGATCAGGTGTTGGGACATTTTCAATGGCACCCCTTATAGAATATCTTATTGAAAGCATAACCTGGAGGTACGCTCTTCTCGTACTGGCTGGCTGTCTTCTTTTAGGGATTGGCTTGAACATGCTGTTTGTGCCACCTAAATTAATAAACAAGGAGGAAAATGAGACAGAACAGACCTTGTCAAGCAACGATAAAACGACCATGTTCTTCAAAAGCATGTTCCACATCTCTTTGCTACGAAGAGTTGATGTTGTCCTGTGGCTAGTGTGTAATTTGATAATCCAAATAGGGCTCGTAGTTCCATACACTTACATACCAGATAAAGCTGTAGATGTGGGGATAGAAGTGAAGAACGCAGCGTTCCTGATGTCCATTGTAGGTATTGCTAACACAGTGGGCCGAGTCGTAATGGGTCTGTTTGCTGACTTCCGGTGCGCTAACAGGCGATATATGCTTGGGATAAGTGTTATGATTACAGGGGTCATGGTTGTCATATTGCCCTTTATGAAGGAGTACGGTGTGATTGCAACGGTGTGCACCTTTTACGGGTTATCCCTTGGTAAGTGGAATTCTGATCATCGTGTTCAACTCTTTCTTGCATAGCTTTTGCTATGGCATAAAATACTGAGTGTCCATATAAAGAAAACGCTGTATCTTCCACACGAATCACTACACACAGTCTTCCCGATAGGTTCTGACCATATGCATATAAAATGCTATTGCTTATAACCTCCCTCCTCATCAGTTAAGCTCCCTGATGACCAATGCACGATGCAGTATTTAATTATTTCACCTCCTGTCTTGCTGCAATAATGGAACACTTTACAGCAATAAAGAAATAGTTTACATTACACGCAAGTTAAAGTATTTCTGCTCGTTCTACAGGTAGCTTTTTCTCCCTGTCACCAGTTGTTCTGAGAGATTTAGTAGGCAT